TACCATATGAAAGAAATAAAACCGAACAGATCACATAACAGCTCACTAATGTCCTTAAAAGAATGCAAACCAAACAGTTAATCAGTCATTGAGTTCATGATCAGATTCGACCGACAGGATTAATAATACCAAGACTATACGGCTTACCAAAGTTGCATAGAGCAAACCTCCCACTGCGTCCAATCTTAGATATGTCAGGTTCCCTGTTTCATTAGACCGCGAAATGGTTAGCTGAAATTTTAGAACCTGTACGAAAACAGATGTGCCACTATTCGGTTCGTGACACCTTTCAACTCGTCGACTATAAAGAAGATATCAGTGTAACGAGTAAAAAATATGCTCTCTGTTGACACTGAGTCACTGTTAACCAACGTTCTAATAGCAGAAACTGTCTGTCTTACTTGTCAATATATAAACAAAAACCAACTGAACATCGTATTACCGACGACCATTTAAGAGACTACTTCTGGGATGTACGCCTAATATACAATTCACATTCAACGATGTTATTTTCAGACAACAAGATGGTATCGCAATGGGATCTCCAGTGGGCTCATTGCTGGCAGACTGCTTCATGGCAAACCTCGAGAACAGCCCACTTAAATCAACTACTGATAATTTCCACTTGTATGCTGGATATGCGGATGACATTTCTATTATCTGTTATGATGATCACAATCTTAACATGTTGTTACAAATAATCAAACAACGCCATTCAGTTACAAAGTTCACTCTTGAAATTGAAAACTAATTTAAAATTCTTTTTCTTGATGTTGAACTTACAAGGAGAGCTGACAGAACTTTAAGAAGGTCCATCCATAGGAAACCCACATGGAAGGGCTAACTGACAACTTTCTACAGCTATATACCAATCAGTCAAAAAGAAACCTAATTACATCTCTTGCCGCTCGCCTACGACGTATCTGCAGCTATTATACCCTGGAAGAAGAACTACACTTCCTGAAAGAAATCTTCATACAAAATGGCTACCCATCAAATTCGTAGACAAAAACATCAAACAAAATCCAAAAGCAAGAGACACCATCCGTGCCAAAAAGATACTTTATATGAACCTGGACTTCAAAGGAGACCTACTTAGTGACGTCCTCAGGAGGAGAATTTCCACCTATTTAGGAAGAACTTTCCCTGCGGCAACACTAACAGTAGTGTTCTCCGGTCGCCAGCTGATCTGCAGAAGGACAGGATTCCGCACATGACCGCTTCTATGTGTATATATCAGTTCACCTGTTGCTGTGGAGCCAGGTACATCGGTCGTTCAACGCGCATCCTGTCAAAAAGGGTCAAAGAACACCATCCACTGAGGCTGCAGAAAGGAAGTAATGGCCATATAAGGAGTGCAATAATAGAACATCTCGTTAACACTTGTCATTCCATCTCAACAGACGCCTCCTTCAAAGTAATCTACAAAGTGAAGAACAACCTCCAAAACATTACGATTCCGTCTTCTTTGCATCGCAGAAGCCCTAGCCATTCAGTTGTAAGAACCAGAACTATGCATAAAAAAGAAAATTAAGCAACCAATTCTACTATCATGGTAACAACTCTGTCGATTTGACTTAACTTTTATTTGATATAAGAATAAAACTTGTGCACTGTGGTAGAGTGTAATTCCATTATGGGTAAATTTTGTTTTGATAAAGTCTCAGTGTTATACAGTAATGTTTACTGATGACGTTTCGAGCACAATTTACTGCTCATCAGTAAACATTACGTATAACACTATGAGACTTTATCAAAACAAAATTTACCCATAATGGAATTAACTTTTATTTGTATGCTTATTTTTCTAACTACTTAAAACTCTTGCGCAATTCCGTATGTTATTTTGTTTCCATGTGCGCCCTGAGGACAACTCTTTCATCAAACTATTCATGTTATTACGCAACTCTTCTTTAACAATCGCTTGTGACAACTCATCACTTTTGTTACTACCCTCTTATATCAACATCCAATTCACCTGAACTTACTAGCTGCATTTTCGTTTGACAAATTTAATGTACACACATGTACAAAACAATCATATATATTCGTGATTGTACAGCTATGAAAATGAATTCGCCGAAAAGAGACTCTTCGCTGAACTACTGGTCTTCTGTCTATTAATGTTCGAATGGGAATTTTTCATGGGAGATTCACAGAGTAGGCAGATACATCCAGCTATGAATCCCCGAAATAAGTTGAAAGGTGAATCTTGGATTCCACTGCTGGTCACCGTCAACTACAATAACATTATATCATCGCGTTTTGTGTCTGTATTCTTTTTTAAAGAAATGCTTGAGCGACGTATTCTAGACTCTCATGTGCGGAATACTTCCAAGGACATCTCATATAATTGTTCTAAGGATTAATCAAAGAGAAGTAATCACGTCTTCAGGAATTTCCTTATGGTGCTTGATGACAGATTCTGTGTAACACCTAAATATTTTGCAATGGTAGTCTGTATTGTGTCGATAAGTCACTTACTCGTAAACTAATGTAACGACAGAAGACAAGGGCCAGGCAACAGGTGGTTTATTAAGGAAATCAACACATATTTATAGATCTTCATGTACATTATACAGATTATTCTTAGAGGAAAAGCAAAGTCTTCTGATTGGTTGTTTCTCACTGAAAGTTAATCGTTCATCTCTTTGTGGCTGTTTCTTGAATGTCAGACCATCTATAGGTTAACTGTATCCGTCTACGCAAAGTCTGCTGTCGTTGGTTGCTGAATTAGTCTTTGTTCCTATTTTTTCTCACGACCAATATTAAGGATGTAAACACTAACGTAAATTACTGCCTACCAATTTGGCTAGCAGCCAGCTCTCATCACAGTAATACAGTACTGAACTCACATTCATTAATTGTAATATAGACAGAATTTTCCACCGGTGAACGAGTTGTGTATGTTCATTGTGTGAACTCAAGTTGTGTTTACTTGAAATGAGAAATGATGCCTTTTTAAAGGAAACATTGTAGTTCAGAAGGCGTTTAGTTGTTATATTATTTAAGATGTTTTGTCTAAGGGTTAGATATTTAAGCCCCTTCCAGTGTTGTTCCCCTCGGGGAAACATCCAATCGAGATCTGATCCTTAATGTCAGGATAATTCTCATAACCACGGTTCTGTTTTCATTTTTGGAGCCTTTGTGGCGTGCACTACTGGCAAGTTTTATAAGTAATATATGGATACAAATATATATATATTATCTGGAGGAATATTGAACAGAGGTTTAATTGATGTAATGGTGAATAAAAGAAGTGAATCATGCTTGTGACGCAACAGAGAAATGGAGTAAGGAATACTAAGAAGCATAATACTGAAGCGGTGGGGGGGGGGGGGAAATTTTGATACTAAGTTATGGTATACATGTTTTTCCTATATCTACACATCGGGTTGACTAAAATTAAATGTAACGGCAGAACACAAGTTTATTTTACGATGGAATTGTTCATTGGTAACTCGATACAGCTAAAGTGCGCGTAACACATATATATCAATATCCCAATTGGCATAGCCCTTCCTTATTGTTCCTTTCCTGTTGTTTTACAAGCACTGTTCACTTATTCTCTTCATTGTTACACTCAGCTCTCAGCTGTTTTCGAAGTTTTGTTAAAAGGGGTTCCATTGATTGGTTGCAGGATTTCATTATGAGCTTACATCAGTTAGAGAATCACTAGAAAAGCTGGGAATAATGGACAGCTGTCTCGTCCTAGTTTGGAACTCTTCAGTATTATGCATCCACCACCAGCGCTCGAACCCAGGACTCTCTGGTAACAAGGCGAGCTGGTAGACCATTAAGTCACTAAGACCCGATCCAATCTCCGGTACATGAATTCCAACCTCTGCGAGTTCACGAAACAGTGCACCCTACTGGTCAAGACTTCCTGCTAAAACTACAGTTTTGGTGTGTGTGTGTGTGAGCTCGTCTTGTAACCAATGCGCCCTGAGTTCGAAACCCAGTGGGTGTGGGCTGTGAAGAGTCCCAGACTAGGACGAAACAGTCGTCCAGTACTTCCAACTTCTCCAATGATTCTTTAACCAATGTCAGCTCATGATGAATCTTGTAACCAATCTCAGCTGTTTGATATTCTTGCAGATGATTTATAGATTTATATGTGTATCTATGGTCTACTTACAAATCGTTTAAGTAGCTCATGCTTCGATAGTATCCAACATATCAGTAGAGACCTAGTATTACAAATTGCGGTTAAGACGCTCGCCGACCATGCACATGGTCCGGGGTTCGACCCCCGGCCACAGACGCACTCCTTTACCTCGTTAAGCCAGAAATAATGCTGGTAAAGAGGAAAGGTTGGGCATGAGGCTAGCAACCCCATCTTGTAAAATTAAACACTGCTACAGAAACTTCAAGTCACTAGCTTGAGACCCTATGTTCCACTGGGGAAAGTGAAGGAAAAATTATTATTATTATTACGAATTAAGCTGACATCAGAGGATTACATCCTAATCAATATCATATATCGCTTTGGCGTTGGAAACGCCAAGTGTACAATTCAGTTCTCGGATAGCGACCTCATCTGTGATTGAGAAGGCAGGTGTATTCAACAGACAGTTTCCGAAATAAGGACAAAAGGTGCATTATAGAATCTACTAAAACAACGAAATGCCATCCCCTTTTGTTTCGGTGTTTTACTCTTTCATGTAAAAGACGCTTTTTTACGCCGCCTTTTCAACTTATCATGTAATGGATACCTCTTAAAGATATTTCGTCTATTATTTCTAAATACGGATCAAAGACAAGTTATCAAGCTATTAGGCAGGGTAAGTAAGACGCTGTGTAGTTCCTCCATATATATATATATTATGATACCTATCTATCTGCATTGCTGTTGACCCCTGTTATAGTTCATTATCACACATCACATAATTCATATTCTACACTGAACACCTTATAAGGAACATTATCCACCTATGAAAGCTGTCAGGGTCCATCGTGTTAATTAAAGTCTCATTAGCTTGAAACCAGAAGAAACTTAGTTGGAAAATAAAATTAATATTATTACTTAAAAGCAGGTTTTGTAGTATTCATTATAAATACTTTTTATTCATGTCGTGTAAATGCAAAATGTATCATTTTACAATCAACATCATTTATTATTAATTTGTTCGTTTCACTTCACAAATTATACATTCATTCCAGTTGAAACTTTGTGTTTAATGACCATGAATTATTTTCGATACATTCTTCGGAGGTAAGGATAGTCTTCATATCCACTATAGGCTGTTGGGTATGAATTTCGTTTACCATAACGAAATATTTGTCTACGTTTGAATGGTTGAACTGATGGAGTTTTTAGATTAAGGTTTGCTGAATCCCAAAGTCGAATTCCGTCGTCATTATCTATTAAATTTAATAGAAATAAAATTATCAAAAAAGTTAATCAACTTGTATCGTTTGAATGACAATCGTTTTCAAAATATGATACTGCCTTGTTTTGCCTTGTAAAAAAACAGCAGTATATATCCTACTTGTATCCTACTTGAGTACTACGGTGTACCCAAAAAATATTCATCAACCTTATTCAACAGCTATACGACAACGGTACATGTCAAGTGATTCACAACGGAAAACTCAGCGAAGCGTTTGGAGCAAACACAAGAGTTAGTCAAGGGTGCTTATTATCACCCACGATGATATTCCTAATTGTGGTGGACTGGATTATGCGTCAGACGGTGAGTGGGAAACGAGAAGACAGGGATATCCTGTACTGACATGAAGAACCTAGAGGACCTGGATTTTCCGCGTGGATGATTTATGTTAGATGTCACACAAAATCGAAGACTTACAAGCGAAAACCGACCGACAAACTGGTCGGAGAAGCAGCCAGCAAAGACAGGACTCCATGTGAACATAGACAAGACGTAGGTAATGAAAATGACCAACCAACCAACAACAATAACAGCAGCAACATCCAGCGCTAATCACCGTCAACGGGAGGGATTTGAAAGAGGTTACTTCATTCACTTCACTTATCCAGGGAGCATTTTCTCAACTACAGACAGTTGGAACAGACAAGGATGTCACATCGAGCGAAAATCGGGAAGGCGAGAAACACATTCATCAACCTGAAACTAATCTGAAAATCTTCGTCACTCAGCCAGCATCAACAACAAAATTCAGTCGGATTTTCAATAACAAGCACGTCAAGTCAGTCAGTTCTTCTATACGGATCAGAAACTTGACGGGTGGGTCACAAAGAATATTTTCAACAGCCTGTTGCAGAGCTTTATCAACCAACAACTGTCTTCGCTGGCTGTATACTGAAGAGCAGATGGCCGGGCGGGAAAGAATCACCAACAAGAAACTATGGTAAGAAACAAAACAAGAACCAATCTCCAACCAAGAAGTATGCAGGAGAAAGTGGAGATGGATTGGACACTCGCTCGCTGAGGAGGCCGCTGGGTGACATAGCGCGTGCGTCAGGCCATTGCTCGAGTGAAACCCGACAGAATGGGAAGCGGCGAGCGGGTCGTCAGTGCAAGGGTGGCATGGAAGAGATGGTATGGGGAGGAGATGAAACCTTATGCACTAAGATGGATGCAGGTGAAAAGTACAGCAGAAGGAAGACAGAAGCAAGTGAAGACGTGCAGTTGAAGCCCTATGTTCCACTAGGAGCCCAAGGGAACGATAATAATAATAATAAAGAATTTACAGTTTTAAAAATAATTCATTAACACTTGGTAACTATTTACGAACAGTGAAAAAAGTCAATATATGACTCTGAATCTTCCGTGAATGTTTTGATTGATTATTTATTTCATATCAGATAGTAGGGAATTTAGCTTTAGATGTAACCCTGTCTGAAAATCAGAGATTTTTAATATCTCTTTGGGTTTCGAATGAAACATAAGGCTTCAATCTTGAGCTGTGAATTCTCTGGAACTACTAGGGATTTTAACGGGTCGATGTTGCCAACCTAATATAAAACTCTCTCTTTTTACCATGCTTAACACTGGCTAAACGAACCAGGACCATGTGAGTGATCGGCTAACATTCTACCCCAAAATCACCAACACACACAGATAAAGACCAATAAATAGGAGGCTCAATATCTATTTCCACCTCTATTTAATGCTGCCTTCATTTTTTAGCCAACTTTTATCTCGGCTATTTCACATTTTCTACAAGGTCATTACGCATAATAAATTTTTCGTAGCCTCCTGTTTTCAGAATCCCTGAGGGTGATGAGTTCAATTGTACAGTGTACTAACGAAAAAGAAAGATAAATTCTATTTCGATTATTTTGTTATTCAGTATCATTCTTCAGATCAACACATATGATTTGATCGTAGGGCGCTTAGATCAAGAGTTGATTGATTCAGGTTTCAACTCCTTAGAAAACATTTACTACCTTGAGGTTAAGTATTCGCAGTTCAGATAACTGCGAAGAACGATTGTATCTAGATTCATTGTTTTGTTTTTGTCATTTGAATATAAACATTCAGTGAGGCAGTATTACTTTAGGACTTCGCTACATGTGGTTATACATAATAAGAAGGCGATGCTGACTATCTCTGGCGAAGTGAAACCAATTTATGATGTTTACTGAGTAAATTTACCTTTGTTTCACGTTTGTCTGAAGTTCTATACAAAGAAATGTGGCGAATTCTGTTGTTTAGGCTTTTGAAATAGCAAAGGCTTCTGGGAGATTTTCCAATATCTGGGATTGATGAATGAAGTGAAAACAAAATCTTGAATACAAGATTTCTCTTCGAGTGTTTGATATGTCAGAGTTACAGAAAGTTGTGGAACGAAAGAAATTCCCCTACTGATCGAAGAATGCCTTATTAAATTACCAGAGAAAGCTGACTTAGTACTTTGCAAAATTAAGTGCAATTTGGATAAATTATTGAGTAAAGTCGTCCTGAATAGGCCAGAAATATCCTGCATTCTAAACTTCACCCATACATAACAAGCTAAATTCATAAAAAGAAAGTCATGTGCACATGATTATCAAATAAAGCGCAGAATGGCGATAGAGTCCCTAACTCAACCTCATTGGTTTTCAATAGGCCTTCGACCACATTGACAGAGAAGTGTGGTCTGTTCCAAACCTTCATCGACCTCGTTCAACAGATATGTGGTGATATCACATATCAGATGATTTGAAATTGAGAACTCAGAGAAGTGAAGTGAATATCGGTGTGTGATATGGCTACCTGTTATCATCGATTACATTCTTAGTTGTGTTGGACTGGATCTTGCAGTACACTTTGCGAAGGTACCATGAGGACTTGAGTAGGTTAGGCTGACAAAGCAACTATAGAAGGTCCTGATTTCATCGCCAATTTTTGTGTAATGTCATGCACACTCGAAGATTTTCAGTCGAAAAAGAATAAGTGGGAATAAGACGGCAGGTGGTGAAGACAGGTATCCGAGTGAACATGCAGAAAACAGAGTTGATGAAGATACCAGCTAACAAGGAGCAGCAATCACCATCAGCGAGAGAAATTCACTGTCATTCACTTTTTCACTTATTCATACGACATTGTTTCACTTACAGGCGACACCAATGATGACATCAGAGAAGGGGTCAGAAAGGCAAGACGAACTTCCATTAATCTGAATCCAGTTTGGAAATCTACTGCACTCAGCACAAAGGATAAAATTCGGATATTCGACACAAGTGTTAGGTTAGTCATTTCTACTATATGCACCAGAAACGTGGCTTGAGAGTCTCGAAAACCACTTTAAACGGACTAGTACAGACGTTTATCAACAGCTATCGTCACTGGCTACATAATGAAAATCGAATGGCTAGAAGGAATTGCCATTTGCAAACTTTCAGATCAAAGCAATTCAGAACTTGTTGCCCAAAAGAAGGTAGGAGAAAATGGAGATAGATTGGAGAGATAAATACTATCCTGGTTTTCGTTTATTCTCTGGATGATATCGGTTTATAATGAAATCCATCATAAATTCTTTAATGACTGATATAAGAAGAGATGGAGTGTTTAGTATTTTACAGCTCAGTTTATTTCACGTGTTCATATATTTAGCGCGCGGAATTATGCTCCTGTCCATCCCAAGCAAAATACTAAGCCGCATCATCCTGGACAGAATCAAGCAAGACAAACTGGATGAAAAATTTCTACCGGGACAGGCTGGATTGAGGAGAAACAAGACATGTATTGATCAAATCGCCACACTACGGATCATTATTGAACAAAGCTTGGAAGGACAGTCACCTCTCTATCTCAACTTCATCGACTTTGAAAAGGCCTTCGGCAGACAGCGTTGATCGAGAGGTGATGTGGTAACTACTTCACTACTACCAAGGGGTGCCATCGACAATTATACATCTCATCCAACAGTTATACGACAACGCTGGATGCCAAGTAATCCACAACAAGAAAGTTACGGAATCCTTTGAAGGGGAAACGGGAGTAAAACAAGCTGGCTGCCTACTATCGCCAATGATTTTCCTGATTGCAGTAGATTGAACAATGTGACAGACAGCGGCGAGCAGCAAGGAAATAGGCGGCGAGTTGGTCGTCAATGCGAGGGTGACTTGGAGGAGGTCATGTGAAGAGAAGATGAAAGCATGTGGGTAGACTTGGAGCCAGGGGAAAACTTTAGCAGAGAACCGAACGCAATGGAGACGCGCTGCTGGAGCCCTATGTTCCTCTAGGAATTAAAGGATATTATAATAATATATTTAGCTTGTTTAAGAGATGTGAGTCGGTGAAAAGGTAGCTTGGCATAATATTTTCCTGGATATTAAGCTGACAATAAATTCAATGGATTCGTAAAAGTATGGAGACATGCACACTTTTGGTTTCGCGTTATGTTCACTACATCACTTCTTTAGGTTAGGCAAGAATGAGTTAGAAGACTGGCTGTATGGGTTTTCAAAAAAGTCAAACAGTTTCATCTAAAAATCTGCAATAGTTGAGACATTTTTGGATAACCTTGTTTATGTAATTTAACATACAGTGTTTAATGTATTAACTATTGACTGGATAACGATTTTACACTAAATGAACTGCTTATAACCATATCAATGCAGTCACTAAATACAAGAATTCAGGCGTTTGTTCTCAATGCACTTTCTAGTTGAACTTGTCACATTTAGACCATAAGTTTGGTATTGCGCAACTTACTCGTAGTCAGCAACTAATTTAATGGCTTCTAATGAATTATTACTGGTTCTTTAAAATGTTCGCCATAATCTAATGAGGATAGTTGGAAGTGTTTAAAACTTCACACATTGCGATTTATTACGTAAGACTTTCCTTTTAGGCAGATGGATCAAAACAAAATTGTTACAGTTTTTATCTATTGACATACTATTAGGTGATGTATGAAGTGAAAACGGGAGAAAAGCTGTGTAGTTTGAA